TCAAGAAAACAGCAAAGGGTATTAGCAAATCAGTGGTGAAGAATAGCATCACCCATGATGACTATCGAAATGCTATCCTGGAGGGACAATTAAAAATGACATCGATGAAACAATTTAGATCATTTAAACATGACATCTTTACGGTGGAATTAAACAAGATTGGCCTCAACCCCTATGATGACAAACGCTTTATTCTTGATGATGGAGTTGGTACACTTGCACATGGACATTACAGAATTCAAATGTGAGAATATAATATACTCCTCTTTCCATCTTCTCTACTCGTTGTACTATTACACCTCCTCTCATTCTTTCCCTCCTCCTCCTCCTCCTCCTCCTCTTCCTCCTCCTCCTCCTCCTCCTCCTCCAAATCATATTCTCACTGGTATAGCCATTTCGATAAGTTGATGCTGATTTATTGAACCAATGAGATTACAGGATGAAAATATGTAAATTTAAGCCCATGTGTTCTAGATTATGTTCATTCTAAAATAAGATCTTGAAGGAGCAACATGTCTTTTACTTGCTTTAAGTGTAATATGGACTTCACAAGAAAGGATAATTTGAGCAGACATATGAATCAACTCCATAGAACTTATAATGACGATGTCGGAGATGTAAAGTCAGATATTGTATTAAAACATCCATTTACTTTGATTGCAGCTGGTCCAACATCGTCGGGCAAAACGTGGTTGATGAAGAAGCTAATTAAACATGTAGGAAAATACATAACCCCAACTCCCAAGAGAATCATTTAGTGCTATGGCCAATGGCAACCAGCTTATGAAGAAATGAAGAGCTATCCTGGTATAGAGTTCATTCATGGAATACCTGATGAATTAGACAACCCGAGATTCCTCAATACGACCACACCCAATCTCCTTGTATTAGATGACCTCATGACATCAGCGACTAAAGATGAACGCATTTCTGATCTTTATACAAAAGGAAGCCACCACCGGAATTTATCTGTGATTTGTCTCATGCAAAACATGTACCATCAAGGAAAGGAAAACAGAACAATGAGTCTGAACTCACATTATTTGATTTTATTCAATAATCCAAGAGATCGTCAGCAGGTGGCACATTTATCAAGGCAGATGTATCCAGGTAGTGGTGGAAAACTTCTGAGAGCATACAACAATGCAACTAATGTACCCTATGGTTATCTACTATTGGATTTAAAGCAAGAGACACCAGAGCATGAGCGATTGAAACCTAACGCATTTACATTTACTGATGATAACGCAGAAGACTACTCTCACGTGATCCAACCAATAAAAAAGCATGTTGATGATGACGTAGTGCTTCAAACTTCAACTGAAATAAATAGCAGTATCCCTCAGGGGTTTCCTCATTTGGACCATTGCAATAGAGAAGACAACATGGTATCTTGTGATGATTGTGGTGTTGTCTTTGAGAGTCTTCACGATCTACAAAGACATATACGAAAATGGTGTCCAGAACAGAATGAGTTGCCAGATATAAAAAAGAGAAAGATGGATTCAGAAAATGATGTAGAAAATTCTAACCATTCAACCAAGTGGGAATCTCTTGGCGATAGTGATGATGATGGTGATGATAATGAAAGTGCAGCTGAAGATGATGAAGATATAAGAGAAAACAGTACTTATCTCTATTTTAAAGAGAATGCAAGAAAAGACAATGAAAAACACTTTCAGAGTAAAGTTGATAAGTATTTGAACAATGGTTTCACAGAACAGGAAGCAGTAGAAAAAGCAGAAGCAAAACTGAAGACTCAGGATATTAAGCAATTCTTGGATAAATACAGACATTTCATCAAACTCTATATACACATTGAAGAGAGTACAATGCATAGAAAGATCATGGATGCTATTGAAAAGAGGCTCTCAAATGATGTATCAGAGAAAGTCGCTATTAGGAGGGTGTTGTCCAAGTACAGACATGAATTTGATGAACTGTTTAGCCAGGACTCTGGAGATGAATCAAATGATGGGTCAAATAGTGAAGCAGAATCTGATGGAGAGACTGATTCAGACAATGAATAATCACCACAAATATAACCTGTAAACAAAGTACTTATCATCATAATAAAAATAGTTTTCAATGAGGAATGATGTCCTGGAAGGATCAGCTAGCGAATATTTATTTCCATTCCCACAATGCTGCTAGTTTCAGCGGTCCAGAAAAGCTGTATCGAGCTGCACAAGAGCAGGGATTGGACATTTCGCGTTATAGAGTGAAAAAATGGTTAGACAACCAAGAAGCCTATAGCTTACAAAGACCATATCAACAGAAATTCCTTCGAAATAAAGTATATGTGTCTCACATTGACCAGCAATGGGATGCTGATTTGATGGATGTATCCAACATGGCCAAGTGGAATGACGAATACAGATATATATTAGTTGTCATTGACATTATGTCGCGCTTTGCGTGGCTGAGAGCTCTGAAAGACAAGAGAGGACAAACTGTAGCTGCTGCGTTTGATGATATATTTAAAGAAGGTAGACAACCTGAAGTTATAAGATCTGATAAAGGTCAAGAGTTCAAAGCCCATACTACGCAGAGACTATTCAATGAATGGGGTGTAAGACATTTTGTGACACAAAATTCCCCAAAAGCAAATTATGCAGAGAGACTTATCAAGACTATTCGCACTAAAATCAAACGATATGTAACATATAAACAAAATTATAGATTTGTAGACCAAATACAGAGTTTTGTAAATAGCTACAGTGTTACTTGGCATAGGGGGATAAATATGGCCCCTAATAATGTAAATAAAAATGATGAAATGACTATTTGGTGGCGAATGTATTATCCTAAAGTTGTTGTAAAAACTAAATCAAATCAAATTTTCAAATTTCCCATTGGAGCATTGGTAAGAATCACCCAAGAAAGATCTATATTTAGTCGAGAGTATGATGAGCATTGGACAGGTGAAATATTCAAAGTAGCCAGTAGATTTATCAGACAAGGATTACCAATCTATCGTTTAAAAGATTATAATGGTGACGAGATCACTGGGACATTCTATCAACCAGAGCTTCAAAGGGTACATATTGATGAAGATACATTGTGGAAAGTTGAGAAAATTTTAAAAACTAGAACAAGGAGAGGCCAAAAGGAACATTTAGTTCGATGGAAATTTTGGCCTAAAAAGTTTGATTCATGGGTTCAAGATTCTAACATAACACCATTGTAATCATAAAATGTTTGTGTATAGTCTGATATTTTGTGTAAATAAATGTATAAAATATATAAATGTGTACATTAAAGAATGTGTTATGTTTAAGTCAGACGGTGGTGATGTTTAGATATCAGGAAGATTCAGCTATGAGAATAAGGATAGAGATTGTAAAAAGTAGAATTATACTATTCAAAATTATAATCCAAATGAGCTCCCTATTATGATATCATCGTATCAAACGCCCTGAAACACTGATTGACATTTATCAAAAATATCATTAAATGGTTATAAAACATAAAACCGGATTAAACCAGATTGGTAAAATATGGGAATCCCCTCGATGACGTAGTTGATGAAATGGGGAATCCCCTTTATTATCCCCCTACTTATAATTATCACCCTTCCATAGGGTTACGTGTTAGGATTATTTCAAACTGTCTAATCTCTAACTACTGTCATAACTCCAATACCACAAGATTATGTTGAGCTTTTTGATACCATATGGACATAGGACTCTGCTCTTGGAGGTCTCTTGAAAATATATTCATCATATGGTGTGATGTCACATTGTGATTGTGGGTATTGGCAAAATGAGACTACATGTACCAATGTATATACTACTATTTTGTTATATTTGCCCTGTTATGTTCAAAACAACAATATGTTTTGCTTGGTGGCATTCTGGGAAGTTGCTGTTTTTCAAGTTTGACTTGAAGAGCTCTTATTCAGTTGAAGTAAAATCTTAAGCTGTTTTATGTCAGGACTGGAACCATGCCCTTATAAGGTAAGGGTGGCAGGGTACACAGAAATATACTTCTTTCCATTTTGTGAGAGTCTGGGATTCATGACGTTCATATATATGTGTTATGCTTCAGTCACCTTTGATCTATGGAAACCATGCAGCCACTGTAACTTCGCAAAATTGAGAGAAAAATGTAGCATGCAATATAGGGATGAGCAGTACAATTTAGAATTTCTATATTGATTTTGAGAAGCTACAAACCCTGTACAGCTGTCATAAAGCAAATGTCACTGATGCTTTAGATGTGCATATATGTGATAGTGCATTTCTTTGACTCCTCAATTTTTAGTTGTCAATTTATCTCAACTCAATTTATATGATAACATGTGGTTTGTGTGCATTTTTATATACATGTACTGTATATTGCACTTTGTCTATTCAAAGTGATATATGTCATAAGATAAGATGACAAACAGCACTACACTATAAATAAAATGAATTATCAGCCTAATGTGTCCAGTTATGAACTCCAATGTTATTATGCTCAACTTGGGAATCATGAAATTACACTCAAGGCGAGCATGGATCCTTTCTCTTATTTCATATTTACATGTAAATTACAAATCAATCTCAAATTACATATCAATCTCAATGATTGGAGAAGGTTGGCAATGTTAAAAGCAAAAACACAATAGGAGATCTCAAATAGTTATGCATGACTGACAAATTAACTGAAGTGCACTTAATAAGGACTTAATGTAGTTTTATATTATACTTATCAAATCGAATATATCTACAAAGTTTAATACTAGTATGTGAAACTTCATATAGCTGTAAACATGGTGAATACAACTGAGAATAAATATTTTTACACCTTACATTATAGTTTGTAACTTGATTTCCAAAGTTCGAAACGAGCTGTTAATACATATGTTCAATTTTTGATTAAAGCACATCTTGTGTTTATTACCCTCATCTTGAAAATCATTACCCCTAACATCACAAATGCCAAATAATAATATAACCTATATTCCACTGTGGCTAGTCGATCAATGTGGATGCAGTCATGTATATGCAATGTTTCGTGGGTTCTCGCGTACATTATAGTGAATGGGGTCGTTGAAAAATATGACATGAAATCGAGGTAAGTGATCTCAGAGTTTCTACTTAACATATTGACTTGAAATCTTGCATACATATTCAATATACATAGTATGACAAGGTGTGAAAGTTTCAGCTAGCACATTCCTGTTATAGGGAAGATATTTGAACAACATTTCGTAAACGTCAACATATATGTATCAAATGGATTCAACTATGTATCATTTGGATTCAGAATGGTAACAAATGGATGCTATAATAAATTATGCTTTTATCATGATGATTTATTTACAGATGGACAACTGGCCAGATTTTCTTTGTATCCATTGTTCGGATAAACATTCCTTATTCAGTGAAGTAATTAGCCACACCATTACAATACACCCTCATGAAGAATTGAAAATTGATAGATTTTATATGGACCCGTCAACTGGAAAATGCCATTACAGAAGGAAAAACTATGGTTTCATCCCTAATACTGTTAATTTGAAAAACGGGTCCATAACATGTAATGATGACAATGAAGATGTTGAAACTAGGTACGCCGATCAAGTGAATTCAGAGCCCAAGAACCATCAACCCACTGAAATACCCACAGATCAAGTTTCAGAGCCATTAACATTCCTTGAAAGTGACAATGAGCAGCCAACAGATGGACCATCTGTAAATCTTGGTGATTTTGTCAGCTCAGCTGAAAGAGCCTACAGATTCCTTGAAACAAATGACCCAAATTCAAGAATTATATCATCTATTTACATTTTTTTTGAAATCGTGGTAAGTGAAATCTTTCCAATTACCAATATAGGATTATTATTGTTTTTGGACACTGTGGACTATTACACCGCTCTATGTGCCAAACAAGTGAGATACAGAAAGGAAACTAAATACTTTTGGTTCATGGGCTTTCGTCTGTTTCATGGGAAGTTTCTGAGGTAAGACTTCATTCATTTTTACTTTTAATTCTTATGATAATAAAATATAACTAGACTTTGGAAATTGAACAAGTTCAATTTCAGACTCCAGATCTAGACTTTTTTAAGCCCAGTCATCCAGAATAAGCCGAGTCATCCAGAATAAGCCGAGTCATCCAGAATAAACTGAGTCATCCAGAAAAAGATGGATGGATGGATGGATGAAATAGGAAGGAGGGATAGGATAGAATAGGAAGGAACGATAGGATAGAATAGGAAAGGATGAGATAGAATAGAATAGCAAGGAATGATAGAATAGGAAGGAAAGGAAAGGATAGGAAGGATAGATAAGAAAGATAGGATAGGATAACATGGGATAGGATAGGAAGGATAGGATAGAATAAGAAGGAACGATAGGATAGAGGAGGAAAGAAGGATAGGATAGAATAGGAAGGATAGGATAGGAAGGAAAAGATATGAAGGAAAGATAGGTAGAAGGAAGGATAAGATAGGAAGGATGGGTGGAAGGATGGATGGATTTTTCAACATTTTCTTCACTTCTCTTGACTTTCTATCAGGATACCATAAGATCGATTTTTCTCGAAATTTCAAAACGCCATAACATAAGTCGGATCGAAATTTGGTTTGCAGATTCAGATCCCTTAGAAAATTCTATCCTTAATTCATAACTCATACGTTAAATTTAGAGAAGTTTTTATTTTGACCTACTTTTCAGACACCATATCTCAAAAGTGGGTCAAAATATTTTCTGACAGCTAAAGCTAACACTATAAGCACACTCTTGGCTACATATATACCAAATTTCGAAGAATATAATTAAAGTGTAGTGTAAGAATTGAAAAAATGAGGAAAAGCTTTGAATTTGACCTAGATTTTGACCTAGGCCCTGGACTGGACTTGGACCTAGACTTGACTTGGACCTAGACAAACACTGGACTTGGACCTGGACTGGACCTTGACTTGAACCTGGAAATGGACTGGAAAGGTATTTTTTCAATTTTTTCACTTTTCTTGACTTTCTATAAGGTTATCATCAGATCGATTTTTTCTCGAAATTTCAAAGCGCCATAACTTCCGAACCGGAAGCCGGATCGAAATTTGGTTTGCAGATTTGGATTCCTGAGAAAATGTTATCCTTAATTCATAACTCATACGTTGAATTTGGAGAATTTTTTATTTTGACCTACTTTTCGGACACCATATCTCAAAAGTGGGTCAAAATACTTTCTGACGGCAAAAGGCTAACACTATTAGCACACTCTTGTCTACATGTATACACCATTTCGAAGAATATAATTAAAGTGTAGTGTCAGAATCGCAAAAATAAGGAAAAACTTTGAATTTGACGTAGATTTTGACCTAGGCATTTTGGTGTCCAAATTCTGAAGCTAGATGGCTTTTGAGGTTCCATTCTTTTAAAAGCTTTCATTGTATTTAGCTGAGCTCAGTCTATATTTAGTATTTTTCACTTCAAAAAAATCTTTTTTCCCATTGACTTAACATGGGCAACAAATTTAGCGATTTTTGAGCTTTCAAAACGCAATTCAACTTTGGTTTGCAGATTCGGATTCCTGAGATCATTCTACACTTATTTCTTAACTCACATGTTGAATTTGGAGAATTTGTTGTTCTGACCTACTTTCCGGACACCATATCTCAAAATCGGTAACAGTAATCAAAAATCTGATGGCACATAATGGAAGGGCTGTTTCTAAGCTACATGATGAAAAAAAGACAAAGTTGTTTCAATAAATAACGACGAAGATAATAGACAGATTTAAGATTTGACCTAGTTCTTGACCTTTGACCTACCCTGTAGATGAAAAATTGACCCAATTTCCGAGAAACTAGATACTGGTCCTAAATTGACAATATACAGGACTTGACTCAATGTCTTCTAGTTAAGGAGAAAACGTGTGTAGAAGAATAAAGAAGAAGAAGAATACTGACAAAAGCTATAGACTCCAGATTTACATCTGGAGTCTAATAAAAATGGTCCTGATCAACACAGGCTTCGCTATAAGTATTGCAGTAGCACATTGGTGGAGGAGGCCATGGTTCTTTACCATGCGTTTTTAGTGCGCTTTTGCTATTGAAAAGGTTGCCGCATTCATCGCACATGTGGCGTGTTGGGGCAGTTTCCTCCACTGGCTGTACGACAACCAGATCCATCTACAAAATAGTTGTGATATATATTGAAAATAAAATCAAGATGTCCATCATCTTGAGTAAACATCAGATTATCGTCGGGCATCAAATATTCACCATATACTACTGTAAAATTATATTTTGTTGAATTATTGTCCCAACTCAAGTTTATATGTAACCATATTTGTTTCTTCCTGATGTATCCAATGAGAGCATTTAAGAAATATATGTAAAATATTAAAAATACACACATTCAAAATGATTCAATTAAAACCTAGCCAGTCTGTTCATTGAATCCAATTAGAACGTCTACTAATCCACATGATACATTATAATTAAATTGCTTTTTTAAAGCGGATATTTCATACCATAACCCCAAAAATATTATAAAATGCGTTGTATTTGTATTTTACTTCACACAGACATATTTGTGTACGTGAAATAATTATATTACTTGAATGTTTTATTCTCCATTATAAGGTAAACCTATGGCAATTATACATACCTTCTCACAGCTATGAGCGAGGTGATAAAACTGGTCGAGTGAACTCGTTTGAGTTATCTATTCGCTGTAAAATTATCAGAGAATGTGTGTTTATAGCGTTGCTTTGGCTTGGTAAATCAATGAAGTATGATATACACGGATGAGTAAATGTAGATTATTTAAACAAAAGTGCAAATTTCTTCCATTGAAATGTACAGAGGCGGGTACTCACGAAACATTACATGTGCTTGACTGCATCCACATAGATCGACTAGCCACAGTGTATTCAGGGACTTCTTGTTTCCCTGTAGTCCATGAGTTCAACATACAATAAGCACTGGCGGATCCAGAAGGCAACAAGGGGGCGCCTTTCAAATCAGAAGATTTTCTGGGCTTGCTTTGAAAATATTTTGACCCCTAAATCCAAAAATTAGACCCAAATTTTGAAAATTTAAAGTGTGCGCCTGACCCGGCTACGTATAGCACAGAGTTTATACTGGCGGATTAGACTAGTTCATTTTTTATATGTGTGTGACAGCTTTCTCTTATTTGCGTTTTTTCGTTTAGTACGGTTCTGTTATAATTGCCGAGGTCATATAACCGGGATAAAACAATGATTATCGTTGACTGCCCACACACAAAACATACGTTGTACAGTGTTATTACAAACAACAGGCTTTAGAATACAAAGCGTAGTGTGATAATAAGCTGTACACTACCACTGCTGCATGTACATATTACTAATTTACTAGGGCTCCCAAAGAGTGGATAGGGAGGTTGTGTTTGTCACTTTTAAATTTTACATTTCAAAATTGTCATTTTACATGTCATAATTTGTTGGTTTCATTCGTTTAGCCAATCAAAACATTGTAAAACAATAAATTGTCTGTTACGTGCAATCAATTTTGTTCAGTTTTGATTAGTTGTCAGAATAAAGTTACGTTCATCTGAATCCATGTATCAAAACAAAAATCCTATTTTCACTTCAAAATACTTCAGTGAGATGAAGGCTCGGAATTCTCACATGCAATAACTTATTGTCGTATTCGTTATTTTATCTTCTCGATAATAGCATTTAGTCGCACATTTGATGCCAGGTCACCTTGTCGCGTACCTCTTGGGGAACCCCACATTTATGTGTGTACTCATGGAAGTAAATTCCCCGGTGTAGCCGAGAGCCACATACTTTTCAACAGGTTCGAAATGACCAATTTCTCTCATATATACTCTAAATATTTTATTATTTAGCACCTACAAAGTATTGCTAATAACCATATGTAATTTCAATAAGGAAACTTATCTGGCTACATATAAATTCAATATCAACACTAGCTGTTCTCTCAACACGTCCTGGCTTACCTTGTGGTTACAAACCCTGGATTTTCGCTATTTATAGTTTATCAACACCTGGACGCATGCGCATTTTATAGTTTATCGGGCACTTTAAGGCCCAATTTTTATAATTTGGCCTAAAAAGGCGAAGTAATGCCCAGAAAGATCCACTAAATAAGGCCCTACCAAATTTAGTGTTACTTTTTTGCTGGGCTCACCAAGGGGGAAGCGGGCCCCATGCACCCCCCCCCCCACCCTTGTATCCGACACTGCTAAGGTAGAGTCTTATGGGATCACAGAAATGGCTACAAATACATGATCTTATAAAAACCTGGGAGAAATAACTGTGTTTCGTTCAGTGCTTCTACGCCATCTATACGCGACGTACGGCTCATTCAATGAGCAAACTCACGACAGAGAAAGGGCTCAAATTACATTAAGAGTAATCATAAAAATACGTTTCAATTTATCTAAATAAACAAATCTCATAAAAGTAGCAAATGAGTACCAAAAAATACTTTTCATATATACCATTTCATTTTACTCTAAGATTGGCCATTTAGCTTTTCAGTACATCCGTCTCACATCCTCATTGGTCGGTGAGTATGCCATACATTTTGGGTGAGAATGGCATACACCGCAAGTAAATCTGTCAGATTCGCTCGGTGAGTATGGCATATGTTTGTACGATGTTTACCGCGTAATATTTATATCCATTTACTTCATTTACTTCCATTTACTTGGTAACCCAGTTTATTTTGTTTCCTCGCTTTTATTCTGTTTATCATGTTGATACAGACATGCGAATATTTTAATTGAAATTATTGAAAGCATATTATTCATAACTAGATATAATTGAAATGTAATTTCTTAAGTATGCTGCATTTTATTTCATCGATCAAAAAGTGTTCATCAAATTAAACGTGCAATTACGAGCCTCGTTACGAGCCCCAACGGGTCTCGATTTGTGACTGCACATCGCTTGTAAAAAGTATTTTCATGTTGATGGTAAAAAAAACAGTCTAGCCATTCCTCCTTGCAGAATCCAAACACTTTGGTTGTGTCACCACCATCGGTTTGGCTACACAGATCACCATCTTTCAGTTGACAACGACATTTCTCTGGATCAGTGCACTAAACCATTGAATAGAAAGACAGTGGGAGTATACACTTAGTTTATAGCAATACAATAGAATGAACTGTAGTTTATTTTGAAGAATGTATAGTTGTAACAAAGAAGCGTACATTCGAAAGGTATGATGTTTTCATATATTGAAAATCAAACTGGGAAACGAGTATGACGTTGAATTGTAAACAGAAAATAAATCTAATTTTAAACTGTATTAGGCCTGTTACATGCAGTGCACTGGAGCTAAACTAATTACACCCATTCATAATCACTACAAAATAATGTTTTTAAATTGGATCATGGGTCATTTATCTTTCATAAGAGTCAGCTTGGGGTTTAAAGTTAGATACACTATTAATACTGGGTCTTGGGACAACTAATTGCCTGGGGCTTATTTCTCATAAAACCCAGTACTCGTAGTTTATCCATAATAGAAACGATGCAATTCTTGTCACATTAAATTCAATTTTATGTAGTGTATACTTTCATTTGTATCTCGTTAATATGATACACAAAGTATAGGTGTCCCAAAATGGTGATTTACAAGAATTTACTCTACATTAGCGAATGCTTTAATCGTCTTCAGATTTTACATTATTAGAATCATTTCGAGAAAACCTATGACCCTCC